TGACTTAATTCTCACGACCTTGTGGGAGGTAAAGGTGACTGGCCCCATTTTGCATTTGAGGAAACTGAGGCATTAAAGAAGTCAGGTCCTAGTTGTTCAGGTAGGGACAGGCAGTGGCATCCCCAAGCCGTCTCCACATCCCTTACAAACCTCTTCTCTCTTACACACACACACACACACACACACACACACACACACACACACACACACACAGGCGTCCCGGCCTCTGTGGGCGCAGCAGCCCCCCAGGCGGAACATTTTCCCAGCGACCACCAGTTCAAAGTGTCTGTGCCAGCTCCCCCTCCTAAGGGGACTTTTGAAGAAGTGTGAGTTTGTTGAGGGCTTAACCTGCCCCCTCGGCCCCAGACCTCTCCCCTCCGCTGGGGAAATGAATTCCACGTGTGCCTGATCTTGCCTGCTCTGAAGTCACTGCGGGGATTTGGTGAGCTCCCTTTGATGTTGGAAGCCAATTTCATGAGTTGGCTGTGGGGGCTTTTTTGTTGTTCTTTTCCGTAAGACAGAACTCTCATCTCATTTTCCTGAGAACCAAGGAATTCTCACCTTCCCTCTCCCATCTTGAGATTCTGAGTCACTGAGTCCCAGCGCATGGGCTCCCGACACGGTGCCTGTAGACACCTGAAGGTGTTGGCTGGCCCTAAACAAACTCGCACTTCTTCAAAAGCTCCCTTAGGAGGGGGAGCTGGCACAGAAACTTTGAACTGGTGATTGTTGGGAAAATGTTCCGCCTGGGGGAGGCCGCTGTGCCCACAGAGGCTGGGCCGTGAGCGCGCACACGTGTGTGCAAGAGATGTATGTAAGGGATGTGAGATGTGTGTAGACGTGGGGAGGAGAGGCAGGGAAAGAGGCATCTACTTTGAGTGTTTCCTGCAGGGCATGCCCCGTGTTAGGGAACTCTTTGAATCAGAGGAGTGAGTGGGAGGCCCAGCTGAGGCTGGAGCCCTCGTCCATCTGTTTCTGTTCCTCGTCCCAGTCTTGCTTCTGCCCAGGTGGCTGTGCCATCTGGGGCCAGTGACCTCCCCGCTCTGGACCTCAGGCCCCTCAGCTGTGTAGCGGGGACAGTGTCCCTCGAGGGAGCTCCCATAATAATAAGAGCTCTCCGCATCAAATGATTTGTCAAGAACAGAGCACTGAGTGAAAGGAAGAAAATGTTTCTATTTTTTATTGCTTTTGTGTCAAGAGGCAGACTTAGCCCGAGGATTCACACAGAAACTCATCAATTAATATCGCTCTGGGGCACTTATTAATGAGCACATATTGGCCACCAGGGAGCTCAGCAAGGAAGTCTTGGAAGGATATGGAGCAGGGAGGGGGTGGGCGTGTCCCAGCAGGGAAGTCTCGGGCTAGGACAGTCCTCTGTGCCTTGCTGCTCTCTCCAGGGCTCAGCCAGGCTCTCCTTTGAGTGCCGGATCCCGGTCGAGCCCTAGCGGGCTCTGGCAAAGGCTGCCCTGATATCTTGGCGTATCAGGTCCTGCCAGGCATCTCTGGGGGAAAAGGAGAAACAAGAATCGTCAAACAACCGCCCAGAGCAGCAGTCGAGGGCACTTAGAGCCCCAGGCTGGCAAGCGGCCCCTTTCACTTCCTTTGTGCAGCAGCTGCCTGGGCACACCACCGCCCTCCCCAGCTGGGAGCCCAGAAAGCTGAAGTGACTTTTCCTAGGCCACACCGTCGCTGGCTCATCTGCACATGTGGCTTTGAGTCCAGCAGCCTCCCAGGAGACGGGGGAGATGGGACGGGGAGGCGGGCAGCCCAGCTCCTGCCCTCCTCAGGACTTGACTGTGGGAGGCCATGGGATATGAGGCTCTGTGACACAGGGAACCCCCAACACACGCTTTCATTTTCTCATCTGCTGCTTGCAGGTGCCAGGAGCAGGGCAAAGCCACGTCATTGCCTTATCAGAGGAGGAAGCAAGGCTCCGAGTGACAACCAGGGTCTCACAGCAACCTGGCAGGGGACACATTTGCACCTGCTTGGCCGGGGCAGGGAGGGGAGAAGCGGCCACCTTGTGGAGTGTCTTCGTGACGTGAGACGGGAGGTGCTCCTATGGGCACTGCTGCTTGAGTTGCTGACCACACCAAGACGTGCCTGGGAGAGGGCTTCAGTCCCCATACCCCGAGCCCCACCAGCCTCCCCACGCGTCCCCAGATAGAAAGATAAGCAGCTTCTGTGGATATGGGAAACATAAAGTGAGGATAAAGGCATCTTTAGAAAACACAGCTCTAGAAAAATAAAAACCGGGCTATAACACAATGCAACCAGAAGTATGGGAACTGGTTTGCAAATGCAGCTCCAAGACAAGTTCCCGTCCAGCTGACAGGCTAAACCCCCCGCTTAGGGTGTTTGTGTGTGTCCTTGATCTCATATCCAGACCAGCGGCAGGGGGTGTGGTGTGTTTCCATGAACATGACACCACCCCGTGTGGCGCGTGCACATATGTGTGCACCCTGTGCACTCATGTGCTGGATTTGGGTTCAGAGATTTTCCCTGCCTGCCTGGAGGTCTGGGAAGCTCCCAAGTCAAGGGGTGCTATCTGCAACTCATCTCTGCTCTCCTCCCTCCCTGAACCAAGAAGATGAAAACGTTTCCGACACTTTCTAACGTTTCTGTCCAGGAGAGGAAAAGTCATCAGCTGAAGGGGCTGAGGATGACAGATGGCTGCCAGACCCGCGGGGCGGGAGTGGAGAGGGCTGGGAGCTGGGGGAGAGACAAGGCGGGAGGGTGTCTGCAGCAAGGGAGACCTGAGAGGTCACATTCCCTGGGAGCCAGGCACCCTTGGACAGATGTTCAGGGGCATTGGCTGTCCAGGATCTCACGGGCAGGGGGCAGTTCCATCAACTGGTGGAAAAGAAATGTTCGCTAGTAACAAGGGTGAGGACGTGCCGTGCTAGGCAGTGACAGCAGGGCCCAGCCGGAGCGTGTGACCTGTACCACCGCCTGACTAAGGTAGCATGAGCCACCGCACCCATCGGGAAACATTCCCATCGCTAAGTTTGTGTTTTTAAAATATTTTTCTGGCCAGGCTCGGTGGCTCAGCCTGTAATCCCACGCCTTTGGGAGGCTGAGGTGAGTGGATTGCCTGAGCCCGTGGGTTCAAGACCCA